GAAAAATAAATGTAGGCAACTATAGGCACATTAAAATGAACTTGCTGATAAATACCAACCTTCTTAATATCCTGTTGGCACTAAAATATACTGGTTGGACTGGGAACATAGTTCAGCATTGGGTATTTACCCAGCAAACCCAGTGTTAGATCATGTACTTTTCCTAGCTGAGTTTGATTCCCAGCACCACCCAAAACAAACAAACAAACAAAACAAAACAAAATTAAACAAAGCAAAACAGAAAAAACAAAACAAAACCCCAAACCCTACTGCTTTAAATCATGTTTTCTGCAGGGGGAATTTAATTGTATTTTCAATTGACAAAATTAATTTTCATTTCTGTATTCAAGAATTAATTTTATATCTATCAGTTTTCCGTAAGTCAGAGTATCTTAAGATAGCCCACTCAAAGAAAAGATGAGGATCCCTGTGGTACCAAAAAAAACTCACTGGGCTGAAGAACTATTGGAAATCTATTGAAAGAACACACGGTAATCTTTTTCCTATTTCAAAATCTTTTACAATTTTTCTTGGCATATTAAGAGCCTCAAACTAGAAACAATACAGAGATCTAAATGAAATTATAGTAATTTTATACAATGGAATTCTATATAGCAACAGAAAACAAAAACCAGAAAACTGCAATCACATGCAACAACTAATTAATTTCTTAAGCATAGTAATGTGCAAAAGAAGCCACTGCAAGAATATATACTGTGTGATCTCATTTACACTATGTTCAACAAGTAAAACTTATGTAAAGTACTAGAAGTCAGGCTTGTGGTTAGTTATCCTTAAAATGGGATTATGACTGGGAAGGGATATACCAGGACCTTTTGAGTTTCCCTAATGTGCTTTGACTTGATGTTTATTGCTGGTAACAAAGGTGCATTAATATTGAACATTCATTAAGCTGTGCATATAACTCATTTTGTACTTTTTTTTTGGTGTTGGGGGGCTTTGGGAATTGAAACCAGAGGTGTTATACCACTGAGCTATATCCCCAACTGTTTTTAAATTTATTTTAGTTTTTGGTACTGGGGATTGAACCCAGGAGTGCTTCACCATTGAGCATATCCCCACCCCTTTTTATTTTTTGAGACAGGGTCTTGCTAAATAGCTTACCGTCATCCTCAGTTGCTGAGGTTGGGTTGGAGCTTGAAACTCTTCTGTCTCAGCTCTGGAGTCTCTGGGATTGTAGGTGTGCACACTGGGTCTGGGTGATTTGTACATTTTTAAGTGTTTATTATCTTTCAGTAATGTTTGCTAAAAATCATTTGCTGACCATAGTCCTCCATTTACCAGTGTAGGGGATGATGGGGGTGTGAATATATACTGTTGTCCTAATTCCATGGTGTTATAAATTATTATTTTTATTATCCTTGGTATTTTGAATTTTCCATTTGGCAGCCAGTTGAACATCAGGATTTAAGAAACAAGTTTGGTTCTGAGGGATGGGTGACCTTTGTTTGCTTTCAGACTTCAGTATGAGTACTTACAGCTCTCCCAGCACTTTTATAACCTTTTCTGTATGTGTATTATTGTCTCCGCTGTTGTAATTTCCTTTTACATTAGATTGAGTTGTGAGATTCTGAGCTTGTATTCCCCCACCCCTTTTTTAGTTTGGTATGTAATTTGCATATTTTCACCATGCGAAAGCTATTTTCTATGGTTGGAAAAGATTTTTTTCCTACAGTGTGAACAAATCATTCTTTGTTCTCGTTATTGTGCCTCCAAGCTGGTACGTCCGGTTTATGCCCCAAACAACAAAAGTCTGTCATCAGAAATTAAAATACCAGTAAGAACAAAGGCAGAGACCATGAGGAGCACTTAGGGAGGTTTCCTCCCTGTTTGCTCCTCTCCCCACGTTACCACAGATGCCAAGAAGCTGGAACACTGCTCGGTACACTCCTTCCTTGTAGTTCTGCTCTTGTATTTATTGTTATCATTGGTTTAAAAGTGAACTTACAGCTCTGTGTGACTCTTTTCAGGACTTATAAAATCCTCATCCGTGAGATTCTTGCCATTTTCAATGAGCTCTTTTTAAGAAACCTTAAAGTCATGTTTGACAGCCTTTTTAGAAAATGTTTTGACACTTGTTTATTTGAAAGCAAAATTACCAGTGAACATGCTGTGTAAAATTATTAGAGGCAATTTAGAATGGTAGCTAAAGCAGAGTTTGTAAGGATGTATACGTCCTCCGTGTGCCCTTTCCAAAATGTGCACATCCTGTCTTTGGTAGCACGGGATTTATTCTGAAATTATATTTTAAAATAGATTTTTCACATATTATTCAGAGAATTCTCTTCTGGGAAAGTTTATATTTGTGTCTCATAGGATAGTTTAGAACTAAGCTTCTAATTTCAGTATGTTGTATAATCATGGTTTTATTATATTAACAAATATCTATAAATGTGACACAATGCTTCCTCCCCTCCTCCCTTTTCCTGTTATACTTAAACAAAGATTGTAGGACCTTAATTTAGAGGTAATGAAAAATGGACAATGAATGTGGGGATGCATTTTATAATCAATTTTAATGTTGCTTTTCTTCTCACCTGTTGCTGTTTGTATAAAGAGGGATTTAGAATAGGACTTTTAGGCTTTTAGATTTGTTTTGAAAGTTGTTTTGCTGAAGAACATAGTGTGTTCCAATTTCAAATTTTTTTTGTGCCAAAGTAAGTTTGTATTAAATTCAGTGGTACAAAAGTTATGAATATGCCAAGACTGATTTTAAATTATTTTTATTATTTTGAGTATAGATGCTCACTTAAATATGATTATACTTTCTTAACATTAGGTTTTATTTGAACTAAAAGCTAAATGCCAGACCTGTGGCACATGGAAATAATAGTACAGAACAGTCGATGTTATGTTAGAATATTGTAATTCCTTATAGGTATAAAACTTGTGAGAAGTGTTTTTCATTATTCTGAAATTACAATTTAAATGTAAGTTATACAGTATTATTTTAAAAGGTGTTTTTCATGTTTCTTCCTAATAGAAATAGTATGTATATTGGAGAAGACTGTTACTTATTTCTTTCCCTACAAACATTTTGTTTTCAAAATATAAATGATTTGTTGCCATTCTTTTCATTCTTTGTCTATTGTTAAAATTTCAAGAGTGACACATGTGGAAGTAGGCAAAACTCATCTGTAATATAATCAGAGTACATTATGCTTCACCATTTAGTGTATGTACGCTTAAAAATTAGATTATAACTTTAGGTTTCAGAGAATATGCATTTACTGCATTGGGTGGAAAATGGAATGAAGGTGTTTTCTGTATTTTTTATTCTGTTCAATATGCATAAAATGTAGACTTAAGAACTACAGTAGATGCTGCCAATGTTTTTCTTTTTATGAAAATGAAAGGTCACAAAGGATTCATGAAGAAGCTATGTTCTAGATTACTATACTATGTTGATTGCATTTATGTGTTTGGTGATAGGTGGTGCTGTTGCTGCACAGTTGATCCTACCAATCCTCACATTTTCTGTATCCAAAGTACTATAGAAGGATTTGTTGTTGTGGCAATAAATATTTATAGGCAGAAAAACTATTTATAGTTTGTAGTTCTTAAATTCATGTAGAAGAGGTGGAAATGTAAAAAAGTATTTATGTCTAAAAGGTACCTCTACAGGTATACAGTTTAATACTGGAAGTCTTGTAATCCTCTTATAATATATATATATATATATATATATATATATTTTAATATTTTTTTTCTAGTACTGGGGATAGAAGATAGGGCCTTACACATGCTAGGCAAGTACTCTACCACCAAGCTTCATTCTCAGCCCTTTATTTTGTTTTATTTTAGACAGAGTTTTGCTAAGTTGCTGAAGTTGGCCTTGAACTTGGAATCCTCTTGCATCAGTCCCCCGAGTAGCTGGGATTATAGACATGTACTACTGTGCCTGACTCTGTTTTTTTTTTTTGGTACCAGAGATTGAACTCAGGGTTTCTTAACCACTGAGCCACATTCCCAGGTGTTTTTATATTTTATTTAGAGACAGGGTCTCACTAAATTGCTTAGGGCCTCACTTCTATTTTTGATATTTTAAATTAGTTGTTGGGCAGTCCTATTAAAAATATCAGTAGTGTATTTCTTTTGATGGATTTGTGTCTTCATTACATTTATTATAAATTCTTGGTTATGTAGAACTAGTTTTATATTTCATGCCATTTTCTTTGATATTACATATTCCATTAAACACTAAACAATTATGAAAATATATTGAGAAGTACATTATCACTTACAGTAAGTCTGGAAGGTAGTTCTTCACTAATGCTAATTTGATCTGCTCAATTTGTCAGTCTGCAGTCAAAAAGCTGTACCTCTTTACCCTTGAATTAATGGAATGTTGTACTTTATATACCTGAGGAATAAATCTGATATCTCTCAATATGGACATTTGTATGGCATTTGGTTTTTGTGTACAATAAAAACAATGACAAGTTGGTTTATATGACTTTTATTCATAGCATATTGAAATTAAAAGTATCTTGGAGATATTTTCAGCAGCCTTTCATTCTTATTTTTTTAATTGCAAAAGAATATAGGCTTATAGAATTAAATAATTTACTCATAGTAACAGAAAGAAGTCCCAGAAGCATAGCTAGTTCAAGTTAACTGGTGAAAGTTGCTACAATATTTAAGTGGAGCTTTTCAGAACAGTATCATAGTTGCTTTGTTCTGAAATGAAAAGCTCTGGAGTAGGAACAGAACAGATTTCTAATATTTTAATAAGATAAAAATTGTGGACTTCCAGTACAGACCTTTTTTCCAGTTCATAATGTCATGTTTTTCTAGAAATGCTTATGATAATTTTAAATATGAGTTTACTTAATGTGTATGACCAGCCTAAAATAGGTGTGGGTGTATGTATGTATATTTCAGGCAAATCATACTAAAATTTAGGAAATCTTGCTTTCATCCAATAATGTGACCTACATTTTAACTTACTGATTTTTTTCCTATCTTCTCTTATGCAGATTAGTGGAGAAGCACAGGAGCTCTTCTCTGTTCGACATGGCCCAATTCGAGCAGCTAGAATCTTGCCTGCTCCACAGTTTGGTGAGTTGTAGTTCTTAAGAAGAAACAAATCATTCAGAGTTTTCCTTTTGTTGGTCTTGGACTACAGACAGCATGAATGATAACTAAAGTCTGTTTCCCCCCAAGTGTCCATTCTCTTTCCCCTCCTCCCTGCAAGATAAACCCTTAGTTCTGTCAGTTGAGATGGAAATAGGTAATCTTAACCAATTCAATATGGCTATTCACTTTCTGCTGTGGTTTTGATTTATCTTCAGCCTCTTTGATCTCAGTTTAGCCTCTGCCTTTGCTAGCTCTTTCTTGAAGCCCTCTTCTCTCTTGGCTTTTATGGCCTCCTTCTTCCCAGATCCCTTCTTCATGACTGTGCTGCCTTTGTTATGCCTCTGGCTTAGCTTTCCTGCTGTGGGTATTCCCCAGGTCTCTGTTCACATGCTCTGCCCTTCTTAGTTATACTCACTGTTGTGGAGAGCTTGGTTTTCACTATTATCTCGGGTGTAGATGACTCCGCTTTCTGTGTCTTTAGCTGTGTCAGAAGTGGAGTTTCAGGGTTTTAACCTTGTAACTCTGATGTAACAATGAATATGTGTTTAAATAATATGTATGTTTTATACTTAGGTAGAAAAATTCAAATGTATGTTTATATTAAATTGGCCTTTTCAGTATCTTAAATAACTTTTGACTCTTTCAGACTTCAATCTTTGGAAAGGTTGTATTTTCTCATTAACTTGCTTTTGTTCACTCAAGAGTATTTTGCATGTGTGCCGAAGACCTAATCAGATAAATCATGTTTGGATACTTTAAAATCTTTTTTAAAAAGAGGATATTAAAATATTTTAATTCTATTACATTTTAAAAGATTACTCTGAAGTGCAAAATCCCCTAAGACTTCTTATAGTAGTTAATTCTCTAAGTTGGTGAGAATGACATTTATTAAAACTTGGGACAATGTGATTGTGCATAAGTATTTTTAGGGATTAATTTATTGATTAAATCGGCTTACATGAAATGGGAAGAGTAGAGGTAACAAAGCAACAATATCCTGCTGTCATGTGGTGATTTTGTACCTTTCTTTAACTTTATGACATTTATAAATTTCAGGTGCATAGTGCATTCTCTGTCTCTCCCATTCTCCTTCTCTCTCTCACCTTCACATGCACATTCTTTCTCTGCCCTTTCCTCCACTCCCCACAGGTATGCTCCATTGCTTGTGCTCTCCCACCCTCTGTTTTCTTTTGCATTTGTATTTGGAAATATTTTGACAAAGAAGATTCCAGACCAACCTTTCCTATAATGTTTTTAGAAGAAACCAGCTTTATCTTTGGATGATCAACATCAACAAGAACTTTAATATGAAAGAACTCTGCTCTTTCTTTTGTATGGTATTCACAGAAGCAGAATTTCTCTCTTTATTTATAAAATTATTTATGCCAATTTCAACTTTTCTCATCTTTTACTTGTGGCAGAAATACTTTTATGAAAGTATCAAAGTAATAAAAATTATAAAAATATTACTTTTACAACTATTTAAAAGTATCTTTTATTTACTTTGCTATTTAATGGAAGATTTCTTCCACTATAATATATTTCTTTAAAATTATCGTTAAAGTATAATTTTACATGGTAAATTAAATATAATTTAATTTTAAATATAATTTACCTGGTAAATATTCTGATATATTTTAGCTTTAGACAGACACAATACACTTATTTATTTTTATGTGGTGCTGGGGATCAAACCTAGTGCCTCAATACATGCTAGGCAAGTGCTTTACCACTCAGCTACAACCCCAGACTTCTGTTATTACTTACAGCTTTTTTTTTTTGTATTTGGTAAAGGTTTTTGTTTGTTTTTCTTTTTGGTTCCAGGATTGAACTCAGGGGTTCTTAACACTGAGCCATCCCCAGCCCTTTTTTATATTTTATTTAGATACTCTGTCTTGCTGAGTTGCTTAGGGCCTCACTAAGATGCTGAGGCTGGCTTTGAACTCTCAATCCTCCTGCTTTGGCCTTGGCCACCTGAGTTTCTGGAATTATAGGTGTGTGCCACTGTGCCCAGCTGTATTTGGTAAAGTTTTTAGATTAATTGTAAAACATGCAACTGATCCTCTAAAATTTGTAATAGACAATAGCAATTCTCCACTACTTTTTTTTTTTTTTTTTTAACTCTCTTGTGCTTTATTCCTTTATTTTGATGGAAGAAATCTTTTAGTAACTTTGTAAATAAAGTATGTGTGGGAGATCTTGTATGTCTGAAGATATCTTTATTTTTCCTTAGCTCTTGATTGATAATTTGGCTGGGTAACAGCTGCTTGTTTATAATCATGTTACTTCCAATTTTGAAGGCATTCTTTTAGAGTTATGTGGAAGAGTCCGAAGCCACTTTGACATTTTTTTTTTTTTTCCTAGCTCGTTATTCTTTCTGAGAGCTCATAGAGTGTTGGCTTTGTTCTCCATGTTCTGAAGTTTTGCAGTGTTGTATCTTGATTCATACCTTGTTCTGGATTCCTTCAATGTGGAAATGCAAGACCTTTAGTTTTGAGAAAATGTTTTAAATCAGTGTTGTTCATTATTTCTTCCCCTAAGTGTTCTTTATTTTCTTTTTCTAAAACTCCTATTAATTATTTTACCTCTTGTATTGGTTAACTAAAAGAAAAAAAAAAATCACTTCTTTACTAACACTTCTGTCACTTCTGTTGATTGATTCTTTTCTTTCTTTTTTTTTTTTTTTGGTGCTGAGAATTAAACCCAGCTTTACTAACACTGAACTAATCCTAAGCTCTTTTACTTGTCTTGATAAATTGCTTAGAGCATTACTAAATTGCTGAGGTTGGCCTTGAATTTGAGATCTTCCTGCCTCAGCTTCCCAAGTCACTGGGATTACAGGCGTGCTCCACCACTGTCTCTGCTGTCAGGTTTTTCTTATCCTCAACTTTTCATACCTGATACCTTCTTCATTCCCTTCCCCTCTCCCTCTTCCGCTCCTTCTCTGCCTTTCCTCCTTTTGGCACAATTTACATATAAATATTGCCAACTAGAATCCAGAATGTATTACTCAACAGGACCAATTGAGATTTATCCCAGGAAAACAAGGTTGGTTAATATTAGAAAATCAATGTAATTTGCTGTATTTGAATGAAGAGAACCCATATGATCATCTCAACAGAAGTAGGAAGAAAAACTTTTTGAAAAAATTGTATTGTCATTTATGATAAAAAGTTTCAGTAAATCAGTAATATAAAGAGACTACATGAGTATAACTAAAGGTTGTCTATTAAAATAATTTATAGGGCTGGGGTTGTGGCTCACCGGTAGAGTGCTCTCCTAGCACGTGTGAGGTCCTGGGTTTGATCCTCAGCACCACATATAAAATAAATAAAATAGAAGTATTGTGTCCAACTACAACTAAAAAATAAATACTTAAAAAAATCTACAGCCAACATCATACTCAATGATGTTACAGTATTTTCTTGCGGAGTTTGGGATGGCTTCTGTTATGTTACTACATGTATTTACTTAGGTCCTAGTCATTAAAATAAGGTAAGAAAAATAAATAAAAGCATAAACATCAGAAAGAAAGACACAGAATTTTTAATTCATTGATAACATGATTGTGTATTTAGAAAATGCAAACAAGGGGCTGGGGCTATGGCTCAGCAGTAGAGCCCTTGCCTAGCACGCGCGAGGCCCTGGGTTCTATCCTCAGTACCACATATAAATGAATAAATAAAATAAAGGTATTGTGACAACTACAACTAAAAATATTAAAAAAAGAAAATACAAACAAATCTATAAACTGGTAGAAATAATAAGTGAATTTAGCGGACTGCAGGAAAAAGGGCTTCTTCTTCTTCTTCTTATTATTATTGAATTTACCCCTCATAGTCTCTCTTTGCACTTCTTTTATTCTTCCCTTCTCTTTGAGACTAATTGCCCCAAAAACATGTCTTTGGGAATTTCTTTCATTTTCTCAAACAGCCATCCTCTTGCTTTCAGGCCTTTAATTTTCTATTTCCTTTTTAAATTTAATTTTATTTTTAGATGCTGGAGATTGAACCCAGGGGTGCTTTACAACTGAACTACATCCCCAACTATTTTTATTATTTATTTTGAGACAGGGTCTGGCTAAGTTGCCGAGGCTGATCTCAAACGTGAATCCTCTTGCCTTAGCTCTGAGGTAGAGGTGTATGACGATGCCTGACCAATTTCCCTTTTAGAATAATAAGATCTCTCTAACTCCTCCTGCTTCTCATCCACTGTCAGTCATTTGTATTCCCATAGGGCTTACTGTATTTATTTGCTCTGTTGTTTCTTGCTATTTGCATTTGTAGATTGTTTTTACCTGTTTGTTAAATATTGTATTTGTTAAATATTGTTGTGTGGTATAATCTTTTGAAATTTATGGCCTTGAAAGTGTTTGTGTTGTCAATCTCTACCCTAACTGAAAGTGAGAAACTGAAGGATTTGAATGTGGCATTATCTCATAGAAGAACCATCATTGTAATTAGTGAGCATTTACTCATATGAATATAGCTTGTGTTTTCCTGCCTCTTTGGCCACTATCAATGATTAGTCACTTTCTTAATGAATTTAGACCTGCTTTATAATTTTTTTTTAATATAACATTCCAGAAAGCCAGTTGGTATTTTTGTATTAGGTAAAAATGATTACTAATCATCTTAAAAATCTGTACTTTAAGAGGCTGCAGTTATAGCTTAGTGGAAGAGTGCTTACCTAGCCTGTATAAGGCATTGGGTTCGATCCTCAGCACCACATAAAAATAAATTAATAAAATAAAGGTATTGTGTCCACCTATAACTAAAAAAACCCAAAAAATCCCAAAAACTGTCCTTTGAGAACTTGATTCCAAATAAAGTAAATTCTTAATCTTTACTCTGTGTAGCTACTTTTGTTTTTAGTATCTCACTTGTCTAATAAAATGTCTCTATATATTTTAATATGTAAGGCAAAATTTTATATGTTATTGACTTTTTGCTTATAAAGATTATTTTGGAGGATTAGAATCA